CTTCAAAGCAGTACTAATTTATACTCCTATAAGCTTGGCTTTCTTGCAGAATGAGAAATCAGGTGCAAAATTATAGTAACTTAGCACTTGGGAAGTGTATAGCACTTAATAAAATGTAATGTGGGCAGAATAGCATCATTGTATTAATAAATCATTCACAGCAATCTATATGTACATATTTTTTGAGATGTGGTAGATCAAACCCAGGGCCTTGTGCATGCTACTACGCAAGCATCCTACCATTGAGCTACACCCTAGCCCTCTCAGCAACCTCATGAACATGCACAATCTGAGGCTCAGAGAGGTCAAGGAGGTTGGCTGGATACACAGGTAGGAAGATCTGAGGCAGGACGCTAACTCCTGTGTTGGAGCCAACCCGGGGTTCTCCTTGGGTTTGTTTCTCAGCCTCGTTCTCCCTAATGTGGCCACCCTGTACCATATATGCACAATCCATCCATTTATGAGGTCTCAAGCAACCAGAATTTGCTATGGGTCCTGGAGAAGCAAACCTGAAGGACAGGCTGTGTGGTCTAGGCTGCTCCAGGGTACCAGGAAGAACTCTGCTCAACTCCCACATCCTGGTTGCCGCGATGGGGTCAAACTACTATGTACAAAGATGGCATCTGGCAGTACTTTTGGATCTAAGTTACCCTGGGAAGCCATCAGAAAAAGCAGACTAAAAAAAAGACCTTGCAGAGAAGGCTGGGGCAGGAATCAGGGAACATCTGGTAGCCCTGGGGAGGCAGTGCTGTGGGAGTGGCCCACACACCAAGTGGCTGCTGTCATCTGGGTCTCATCCCTCTCCCCTTACCCCCTGGAGCCAGGTAACATTCCCAAGTGAAGAAAGTAATACCCGCTACGCTGCTCAGCAGAGCTTGATCATGGCGCAGAGTCTGGACACAACACCATACGCCCAGGCCTGTCGGAGCCACCTCTAGGTGTCCCTCCTGAGGGCTTCTCAGCAGCACACCTCCTCCTCGGGGAGCACCTCAGACACTGCCCTGGCTGGGCGGGATTGGGTGCTGTGGCCAGCATGTCCTTGGTCTTGTCCTAGTGTTCCAGCTGTCATGCTTTCAACAGCAAGCATCTGTGCATCCTCGGCCCCTGGCTCCAGAGTCGTTCCATCTCAGCAGGAAACCCCCAACATGGGTGTGGGAGCCAGAAGGCTGGTCATCCTGCCCTTCCACATTTGCCCTGCACATGTGACTGCTGGCTKGTTCTCTGATGACCTCACATAAGTTTCCTCCTCTGGAAAATGGAGGGGCTTTAACAGCACAGAAGGAAGCACTGCACATGGGAGCACAGATGGTGACACAAGGAGCTTCTGGTTCTTCCCCAGAAGCCCACCATCCTTATCCCACCTCCTGTTTGTTCACTTGTGGGTGTTAAGTCGTGAGTCTCACCAACCCGCCTGAGCACTTCCAGCTCTGGAGAGTGGCACAGCAAAAGGCCTGACTGCACTCTCCAGGCCTGTTCAGGCCCTGCCAGCCCATGCCACACCCCACACCCTTCCTCATCAACCACTCCGCCTGTCCTGCTGATGCCTTGAGGCAGCACAGCTCCCAGGAGCCCTTCACCTGGTCCTCCAGTCCTGGGCTGGGCAGTAACAGCTTCGCTCCACTCCCCTCTAGGGGTTCTCCATGTCCTCCCGTGGATCAGCTGGTCTACCGTGCCATGCAGTGCTCCGACAGCCCCAGCTGCTGCCACGGCCCCCAGTCCTGTTTTTCCTTGCTTGCTCTGGCAGTATACTGCTCACTTCAGGCCTGGGTGTTAACCTGTTCCCTTTAGCCCCTCGAGGCTCTGTGCAGAGTTCCTAATTAGAGCACTTTGTTCTGCAGGAAACCGGAGCAGAGCACAGAGTCTTGTTTTATCCTTTGACCTTTACTGTCTTAGGGCAGGTTTTTCTTTTTTTTTTTTTTCTTTTTAAATATTTATTCTTTAGTTTTTCGGCGGACACAACATCTTTGTTTGTATGTGGTGCTGAGGATCGAACCCGGGCTGCACACATGCCAGGCGAGCGCGCTACCGCTTGAGCCACATCCCCAGCCCAGGGCAGGTTTTTCAGTAACGAGAAGGCACAGGTGCCCTGGAAATCTGACACATCCATCTGGGACATGGAGAAGACTAAGGACTAATGGCTAGGGACAGGCCAGGAAACCCAGCCCCTGGGAGTCTCTGGACTCTACAGTACCAGCTGAGAAGTGTCCTTGGACGGGACTCATCAGTTATTCAGGCCAAGGACCGAGAGTACTGGTCCTGGCAGAAGGCTGTCAAGCTGACCCCGAACACTGACTCATTCTTTTCACTTCCCACTTCCTGCAAACATTTCCTTGACAATTCCCAACTCCTGGATAAAGAGACATCATTTCCTCTGGGTTACTTTTCACTGAATGTGGATGTGAAGAGCTAGATAAAATTCTTTTTAGTGTGCACTGGGAACACAGCCACAGTCAAACACAGGGCCTTATGCATGCTAGGCAAGTGCTCTACCACTGAGCCAACCGAAGACCAAGGAAACAAAGCTCTTTATATTTTTTAAACCTGCTGAGGACAGGACACAGGGCCTTGCATAGCCCGGCTCTACCATGAGCAACAGCACCAGCTCTTTTCACTTATTTTAAAAACTGCATAGAGGGTCTTGCTAAGTTGCCTAGGCTGGCCTTGAACTTGTGATCCTCCTGACTCAGCCTCCTGAATTGCTGGGATTACATGTCTGTGCCATCGTGCCCTGAGAAAAGGTGATTCTCTTGCTTGCTTTCTTCTGGGATTGGACCCAGGGCCTCGGGCATGCTAGACAAGTGCTCTATATCCCCAGGCTGAAAAGGTGATTTTAAAAAAAATACCTTTATTTAATGTAATTTTTTGTGGTGCTGAAGATCGAACCCACTGCCTCACGCATGCTAGGTAAGCGCTCTGCCACTGCGCCACAACCCTAGCCCCTGAAAAGGTGACTTTTTTTTTTTTTGTGGTTGTAGATGGACAGAATGCCTTTATTTTATTTGTTTATTTTTATGTGATGCTGAGGATCAAACCCAGTGCCTCACGCATGCTAGGTAAGCGCTCTGCCACTGCGCCACAACCCTAGCCCCTGAAAAGGTGACTTTTTTTTTTTTTGTGGTTGTAGATGGACAGAATGCCTTTATTTTATTTGTTTATTTTTATGTGATGCTGAGGATCAAACCCAGTGCCTCACGCATGCTAGGTAAGCGCTCTGCCACTGAGCCACAACCCCAGCCCCTGAAAAGGTGATTCTACGCATTCCTTGACAGGTGGTCAGATTCTGTCAAAAGGGGATAGACTCCAGAGGCTTTTCCAAAGACTCATCAAAGGTCAAGTGACACAGCAAACCAGCTGGGGAAAGATGCACCCAATCAAGGGACAGCAGAAAGGAACCCACCTTTCTGTAGAGTTGTGATAGTCACTAAACGCAAGACACAGAGGAAGAAGTCTACGAGAAGCCTGGATCCTGAGCGAGACAGGCAGGGCCCAGGCACACAGCTCCAATTTTCACTGACTAAGGAGCTTTGTTCTCCAGGTGGAAAGTAAGAAGAGCAAATCCAGCTGTGTGCAGAACACACATTTTCCAAGCTTTTGTCCTAATCTTAGACCTCAGAGGTGTAAGCATTTGCTAAAAGGAAAAACCCTAACTTTCCCTGAGCTCAGCACCACTTACTCCATAGGATTCCATATCATTTTCAAACAGAGGAGCCAGCTGATGCACTGTTGATACGCCAGCTGCTGAGCTGAAGGGCCGTGTGAAACGGTATGCGAGGCACACGGACTCTAGATGCCAGCTAGGGAAACAGTCATCTAAGCAGCAAGGGGATGGGTGATGCGCCAGACAGCACCACATGGTAGGACTTTCACCTTGAACCTCGGCTGGTAGCTCCTGCAGGCTGGAGGCCCTACACTAGTCAAAATGCTGGCTGGGCTTAAGCTAAAGGACTTTCCCATTATTCCTGGCCACAGCAGACCTCACAAGTCATGAGTTCTGACGCCAGCCTGAAATGCTCTATTACCATTTCTAGAACCTGCTATCACAGTGGATGTGAACAGTGTGTTCAAGTGTAGCTTATAAACTACCTTTCTGGGTAATGATACCCCAATACCCTAACCATCCAGTCAGGTCCTGGTTGTCACAAATGCTGACCACACATCGGCAGCCTGGACATGGGGACCTGCTGTGAGCTAACACTCATCTCACTCAGGCTGTCATCCACTCCCTTTAAGCCTGAGGCACTGGTGACTCACACCAAAACCTCAAAGCTTAGAAAATTGATCCCATTCTTTGGAACCCCACCATCACCCACAGCAGTGGTTGTGGGGCTTAAAGTTTCAATAACATGAATGGTCTCTACCCTCCCCTTCCCTCTTCACCAAAGATCGACTGTGAACCTCCTTGCTGCTCTCCAGACAAAGTCTCATGCTAAGCAGGAAGTTCAAAATTTTGATTTTTTTCAGTACTAAAAAGAAAGAGTTCTTTTGCATATTCTTTTTCTTTTTTTTTTTTGGGTACTGGGGATTGAACCCAGGGGTGATTTACCACTGAACTACATCCCCAATCCTTTTTTTATTTTGAGGCAGGGTCTCACTCTTGCTTAGGGTCTTACTAAGTTGTTGAGGCTGGCTTTTTAAAAATTTTTATTTTTATTTTATTTATTTTTTTAAAGAGAGAGTTTTTTTTAGAGGGAGAGAGAGAGAATCTTCAACATTTACTTTTTAGTTATCAGCGGACACAACATCGTTGTTTGTATGTGGTGCTGAGGATCGAACCCGGGCCGCACGCATGCCAGACGAGCGCGCTACAGCTTGAGCCACATCCCCAGCCCCCCCCAAAAAAATTTTTATTTTTTAAAATTTTTTAGTCGTAGATGGACACAATACCTTTATTTATTTATTTTTCTATGTGGTGCTGAGGATTGAACCCAGTGCCTCACCTATACTAGGTGAGTGCTCTACCACTGAGCCACAACCCCAGCCCCATTGAGACTGGCTTTGAACTTGTGATCCTCCTGCCTTAGTGTACCATGCTGCTGGATTACAGGTGTGTGCCGCTGTGTCTGGCCTTTAGAATATTCTCTGACAAACCAAAAGTTAAAGAATTATTCAGGTGAGAACATCTAAGTTGACTCTTCTTTGGCAAGGGGAAAAAAGGATAAAGGGAAAAACCCAGTTCAGTAATAATGTATCTTTAACTCTCAGCCTGACACAACATCAGTAGGAATTCCATTCAGAAGAGAGAAAGATCAGGAGAGAAACCTGAGCAGAACCAAGAACGAATGCCCAGTGTCTTGGCATTCCTCCACCTAAGTGAGCCTCCTGGCTCCAGAAAATCCACACCCAGGCTGGTCGGTTCTCCCCAGCGTGGCTGGCCAGAGCTCTGCCAGCCCAGCATGCCTGGGATATGCTGGCTGGGCCCAGGCTGGACTTTGCAGCACAGCACAGGGAAGATGAGTGACTTCTTCATTTCCCCAGCCTCACAGAGGACTGATTTTTATTTATTTATTTATTTATTTAAGGACAAACTTTTAAAAGTAAAATGAATGAAACCACATGAGATCAAGATACATAAACAGAACCTCAAAGTAGAAAAAGATCTTGCTGGGAAACAGTGGATGAGGAACACTGGAAATGTTTCACAGATGCACAAAAAGCTCACATTGTCAACAGGATTAAGCTGCTATGGATTCTCCCAGAACATCAAGGTTTCATTTTGCTCAATCTGAGATCCCGTTCAATTTCAAATTGCCTGTGGTCCACTCGGTCTAGAAAAGCTTTCCGTTCAATGTACCTAGAAGATGAAAAAAATGTTTGTTAGCAGAATCCAACAGGAGAAAGGGACTCCTCTGTGTTGTCCTGACCTTTAGGGATAAACCAGGCTGTACAGCAGTCACATGCAGATGAGCCCAGCTGGTGCCTAGCCTGTCAGTGACATTCAAACCACTCCATTTGGTCTATACTAGAGATGATTCTGGTTCAGACATGAAAGAAAACTTTTAAAAGGAAAGGACAAGGCAACAGCTTATCAGTGGAAAGTAACTAGAGGCACCGAAGTAGGAAAACACTACACCTTTGTAACAGACTTTAAAGCAAAAAGAAATAACACCAGCTTAGTACAAACCAGAGGGAGCACACGGGCTGGGCAATGCTAGGTGAGGACTAAATCTCTCTGAGCCTTATTTTTTTTCATAGTGACAAGGTGATTCCATATTTCTCAGTCGTGGTAATGTGTTGGTTCTGTGATGAGAGAAAGCTATGCATATTTTGTGTATATCTCAAAACACACAAAGATACCATTTGAAAATGGAAGAAATAGGACAGAAAATGTCCTAAGACCTACTGAGTAAAGCAAGCTGAGATTTATAGAGTGCACTGTTTAGAGGCTATTTAATTGCATTTAGCTCTTTCCTTCCCACCATCCTTTGCTCTACCTGGCATCTTCCACACAGTTTGGGGACAGGTTGCTTCTGCTAGGGTAACAGGAGAGGCTCTTCCCCAAATTCCACTAAGGAACAAGACCGAGTGCCTCTACCTGCAGTCCACACAGGGTCCCCTTAGCAGGTTGGCACTCTGCTTCTAATTTGGGATCAGGTCAGTGGCCCAGATCTCCCTCGGTCCTCCAAGACAGGGTGTGAGGAGGGCAGGTCAAAGCAGGCAGGCACCAGTGAGGCTGGCTGCTGAATGAACCACAGCTGCATTTTAATGCACCTTCTTGCTATAATGTCTGCTGCAATTTGCCTGGGGGGGAGGCGATCTCTGCTGCTAATTAATCTATTGAGAGAGAAAAATTGCCATTGAAAATGGGAGACATAATTGAATCTCTACACTAATTTTTCTTTTGTTGCACTGTGGAAAATGTGCATCTGTGGCTACAAGGTTGTTACATTTATGTGAGAATGTTACCAGGTTCAGGAACCTGTGCTCCTTTGCTGAGTTCAGGCTTTGCTTTGCTTTCCCTCCCGACTGCATCCTGTGAAGCGAGGTCCATCCTACCTGCTAACCAGTCACATCTGTGGCCATTAACTCTACATCTAGTACCAAACGCTGGCCAGAAACTGCAGGCTCTGAGGCCAGAAGAAGCTGAGTGTGAGTCTTGACACTCATTAGCTGTGTGACTCTGGGCAAGACACATAAGAGACAAATCCTCTCTACTCTGAAGGGCTGCTGAGAGGACTCAAGAAAAAGTATACACACAATGCTTGGCACAGAGCAGGCACCCAATAAAATGGTAGCTAGTGCTGCCACCATCATTTTAAGAAGCCAGCTTCCATCAGGGTTCTAGAGGACAACAGATGGCCCAAGTTGGGATGTATGCTATGAGCAACTAGTAGTCACCACCTGGGCTGGATCAGGAACTGAGGTGCTGTGTTAAAACTGTCAACAAGGCTATAAGGGCTGGAAACACTAGGGCAGGGCCACTGTTAAGCTTGACATAAGCCCCAGGCTCAACGTTGTCAGAGCGTTGAAAATATAAGATGCCTGGTTAMATTTAAATTTTAGATACCTTGTAGGGAGGAAAGCTGCAGATACTGTGGACTCTAATCACAAGGAAGTAGAGAGCCTGGAGTGGTGAAGAGTAATCACACAACTGAATAACTCACTTCTATCGATCGCTAAAAGACCAAGGTTCACAAGAGGTGGCTGCTAACAAAAACAGACCAAGGCCTTCCTCTTGATGCAACCAACCACACCTGCACCATGGGCCTGGGGGAAGCTGGCTACATGGGAATCAGGGTCTTGAGGATAAAGYGTTTTAACTGCCCTGGCAGAAGAGCCATCCATGTGCAGAGGGATGATCCTCAGCAAGAGACTGCTGTGCTGCCAACATCTGCAGGAGCAAGGGGAACAGAGAGAGGGTTTCAAGAGAACTCCCAGGGCTATCTGGCTGAGAGATCAGGAAGGGGAAGGAGGAGGAAGTATGAGGCTTTGAGCATTTGTGGTCTTCTCCCTGACTTTCCTTTAAAGAGGAAGTGATACCCCCATTGAGGGTTCCTGGAAGCTGTGCTGGGTCCAGCCGCCTTGAGACCATTGAGTGAAAAGCCCAGGATGGGCATGAAACAGGCGGGTACAGGCAGAATTGAGGCTTAGGGAAGGCCTCAGACAGCAGTGAGGGGCACATGTGCAGGATGCAGCTGAATTCTCAAGGGCGAGCCAGACAAAGGCCATCAAGGCGGGCGACTTGATTCCCCTGTTCACAGCTATCAGCAGCTGCTAACAGGATCTGTGACAGCCTTGGTTTACTGCCAAAAGCTGACCATGAAGAAAACTTGTATCAGACACGACTCCCCCATGGCCAAGAGACAGGAAAGGTGCTTCCATGGCTGACTCTGTACTTTTGGGCAAGATACGTAATTTTCTGTGCCTTATTTTTTCTTCTTGGAGAAATAGGAGTAAAAATGACAATATGTCTTTGACAAAACAATGAAACTGTGAATCGTGCTTTGTAAACAATAAAATGAAAAAATAGCTATGCTAGTTGTTCTGGGCTCCAGGATTCTTGCTTCCCATTTCTGACTTGACTGCCCTGTAAATGGCCTCAGAACCTGGGCAGCCAGCACAGAACTCAGACAGTGAATGCTCCAGAAAGGGCAAGGGCTCTCAGGAAGCCACCTGAGTGTTCACCTATTTCACTTCACCTAGGCCTCAAGAGTTTTCAGGCATTTTAAGTGGGTCACAGTCCCAGAACAGACCCGCTGTCTGACGATGCAATGGGAATCCTGGCTTCTGCACATTTTCTGTCTTGGTGTTTTTCTGGCCTATGCCCAGTCCTCCTGGGGGTCAGCCTGATTAAGCCCAGTCCATAGGGAAGCCTAGGTTAGGGGTGCATCATCCTTTCCTGCTGTTTTTGTCTTTGTGGCCCATTTAAGAAGTGACAGCTCTTTATTTTCATTAACAAAATATGTTAATAGTTTCAAGAACCTAAGGGGTTTCTAGTTTTTACTTTTAAAACCAGGCTAGACTCAACAGGCTCTGACATCTTTTGAATCTTCTAACCCAAATTGCTTTTCTGCCACAATTTCCCTGAAATCCAGGACAATGGGGAGGGAGAGAGACATGGGAATGTGAATAAGAGAGAAGGCATGCTCCCAGGGAAGATGTTGATATCTCCTGTCTGGGAACCCACCCTTCTAGGGATCAGTGAGCTTTAAGGGTGGGCAGAGCTGGGGGCAATGGCAAGATGATCTCTGAAATCTCTGTCATATGGTCATCCTATTACTGCACACTGGTCAGGAGGAGGAGCATGGGGAGGGCAGGGCAACCTGAAGCATGCACAGATAACTGACAGGGCAATTGTGTTATTATYATCATCATCATCATTATTGTTTTGTGGTACTAGGGATTGAACCCAGGACCTCATGAATGCTAGGCAAATGCTTTACCACTGAACTACACCTCCATCCCTTTTTCTTTTTTCTTTTCTAAGTTACTCAGGCTGGCTTGTGATCCTCCTGCCTCAGCCTCCTAAGTGGCTGGGATTATAGGTGTGCGCTACCTGGCAGGGCTGCATCAATATTAGGCTGTCCAAGCAGAGCCAGCATTCAGTTCCCCAAGTAAGCATTCGGGGGGGGGGGCACCACAAACATGGGATGAAAGGGGGTAAACTTCAGTTCCTAGAATAAAGCTCTGGGATTGATGTACTGAGAATTTTCTGCCCTGAGAAATGCAACTAAAAGAAGCAAACTGCCCAACATGGCACAGGCATGCCCACACCGACCCAGGACCTAATTCACAAACATTCTGAGGGCCAGACTGGTTTTAATTCAGTTTCTTCTCCACTGCTTTCTTCCTGTACCACCTCACGGCTGTGTGGCTCTAGAAGAGGACTCCTGGGGGTCATGGAGATAGATTCTTTGGAGAAAGAATTATTTTCACTGGTGCCTTCTATTTCAGGCCTCTCTGAATCACAGACACCTGGCTTCCAATCACAAGCTCCTTGACCTTCAAATCGACTGGACAGATAGCAGCAGTAATGACCAAGCTCGTGTTTTTCTTCTTTCTGTGCATTCATCGGTCCCCTCCCCTAAGCCTTCTGGCCTCTGCCTTGGCATTGGCAGATACTGAACTGCTGCTGCTGAACACCACCAGGAAACTCGTGTGCGGCCTAGAGGAAACCACACTCAACACCCAGGGGGGTCTGCTGACACTGTCTGGAGTGCTGCATGGGCCCAGAGGCTGAGGCTCAGAGAAAAAGCAGAAATTCCTTGCTGGGCAGACAACTGGCTCTGGCACAGGCATTTCAACCAAATTGCTGACTGAAAAAGGTGCCTGGGTGGAGACATCATTCTGATGTATTATGCCCATCTTTTCTGGGTGGCTAATGCTAATCCTATTAGGCCGCCAAACAAAGTCACGGCTATTTACTAGCTAGTGAAACAGGCATTTAGATACCACAATGGTGCAGCACCTGCTCTGGGATGGGGGCTGTTCTAGGTGCTAGTGCAGAGTTGGGAACAAGATCCTGCTCTGGAGGGTTACTAAAAATGAATCAAAAAAACAACATGAATTAGCCAATAAATGCAATGGGAAAAATTAAAGAGGGTGATGTGATTGAGGGGGCACGGGGCTATTCTAGAGAGTGGTGGGCGAGTCAAGTCTTGGATGGCAAACCAAAGCCTTCTGGGGGAGGAGTGCTACAGGGGAGCAGTAAGGCCAAGTTCCAGCAAGCAGGGGAGAAGAGGGCAGAAGTGGGCAGGGAAAGGCTCAGGGAGGGTCTGGCCAAGGAGGCAAACCCTGATTGGAAGTGCTACTGCAGGGCTTTCTGCAGGGAGATGAAAATGGTCTCTATTTTAATAAACAATCATTTCAGCAGCAGGGGGAAAAGGGATGAAAAGGTCAAGGAAGAGGCAGCGGGGCAGATCAGGGATCTTTAGCTGACACTGGGTTGGGGGGAGATCCGCAAAGAAGGATGGGCTGAAATACTTTGGTGGGACAGAAGCACCAACTAGACTTGCTGGGTGTGGTGAAAATAAGAAATCGGGGATGATGACCCAGATTTCTTCTAACAGTAGCTGGACAGTGATGGTGGCATTTTTCTGAGAAGTCTGAGGGAGGGAGTTCATTTATGGAGAGAGACCAGGTATTTGGTTCTGGACATTGATATGTGCGTTGGACATCATATGGAGATGCCACCTCAGTCTGGAGCTCAGAGGAGCAGTCAGGGGAGGAGATACCAGTCAAGGGAGGCGATAGTGTGCTTTTTAATCCATCAGCAGAAAATGGTAGCCAAGTCTTGACACTTGAAAGTGAGCTTCCCTGGGGAGAAGAAATGGCTGCTCAGGACCCAGATCCCTAAGTTGAAAAGCTCAGCAAAGAGAGAAAAGCCAGTCAGGGAGAGTAAAAGAAGATGTCTCAAAGCTCTACTTCTTACTGATGTGGAAAAAATTCCTGAAGAGTTGGCAGAGAATTAAATGGATGAAGCATCTAGCTTTCCAGGAAGGCCTGAGTCTTGGTGTGGTCAGTAATGGCAGGTGGGAAAAGAAATTTGAGCAGAGGACTAGGGGCCAGAGAAAGAGAGGGAGCTTCTATTTATAAATATGCCAGGCATTTTCCCAACTTACTTAATTCCCACAAGGATCCTGAGAGTTATATTAAAGAATTTCCACTTTTTTGATGAAGAAACTGGGGCTAGTAGTACCCATGGCAGGTGGGTGGCAGGACCAAGATTTGAAATCTATTTATTGTAAATATAACCCATGAATAGAAGAGTTCATGAAATGGGCGAGGCAGCTGGGTGTGGTGGTGCTTGCCTGTAATCCCAGCTACTCAGGAGGTTGAGATAACCAAATAAAATAAAAGGGGCCCAGGATATAGCATAGTGGTAGAGCTCTTGTCTACCATGTCCATGACCCTAGGTTCAGTCTCTAGCACCCCATCCCGCTGTCCCACAGAGCAAGGCAAATGAACCATTATAAAACAAGTGCCGACATGGATGTCACTGAGTCAAGGGGTAAAAGGCTGCCTGCCTTGAGGAGGCCCCTGAACAACTCCTACCCCACACCTCCAAACTAACCAGGTGGAATAAGCTTGTGCAGGACTTGGGACCTCATTTTCTTGCTTTCAAGTTTTTTTGTTTCTTCAAGATTAAAGCTTAATTGTGCCTCCTTCCGAATCTGATGTAAACAGAATTGCACTGGGTGTATTCTTTTGTGACTTGCTTCTTTCACCAACTGACCTAATGAACATATAGCTTTTGCCTGTTTTTGACCATCACCTAAATGGAATCATAAAGCTCTTTTTGCTTTTATGTTATTGTAACTTATCCATGTTCATTTCCATTGCTGAATAGCATCCCATAGAGTGAAGAGATCACATTTTACTTGCATAGTCACGTATGTCTTTTAGAGAATATATAACTGATTTTCTGTTGGGAAATAAGTTAGGAATAGAACTGCAGAATTACAGGGAAATGACTATGTGGAGCTTCAGGAGGTAATGCCAAATGGCACTCTCCAATTTAAACTGTTATGTTTCCCAGATGAAGTGGATGTTTTTATCACAAAGAGACTCCTTTATTTCTGGTAATGTTTTTACCTAAAATCTATTTTGTCTAATATTACTATGGCTACACCAGCTTTCTCATGATTAATATTTGCATGATTTATTTTCTCCATGTTTAAATTTTCAATAGTCCTACATATTATATTTGGGGCAAATGTCTTTAAAACACCAAACAGTTTGCTGGTCTATCTATCTATTTATTTATTTTGTGGTGCTGAGGATTGAACCAGGGCCTTGTGCATGCAAGGCAAGCCTTCTAAAAACTGAGCTATATCCCTAGCCTGGTTTTTAAAATTTAATCTGTTAATTTCTGTTATTTAATTAGAGCATTTAGTTTACTTAATTAAAATATTAATAAATTTAGTCTTAAACCTACCATTCTATTGTGTGCTTCCCTCTTTGTCCTGCCTTTTTTTCCTTTCCCTCCTTCCTCCTTCCTTTTTTTGGTATTGGGGATTGAATCCAAGGGCACTCAATCACTGAGCCACATCCCCAGGCCTATTTTGTATTTTACTGAAAGACAGGGTCTCACTGAGTTGCTTAATGCCTTGCTTTTGCTGAGGCTGGCTTTGAACTCGCAATTCTCCTATCTCAGCATTTCAGCCATTGGGATTATAGGTGTGCACCATCACGCCTGGCCCTAGCCTTTTTTTTTTTTTTTTTTTGAGACAGGGTCTCACTAAATTGCTTAGGGCCTAAGTTGCTGAGGCTGGCTTTGAACTTGTAATCCTTCTACCTTGGACTCCTGAGCTGCTGGGGTTATAGGCATGCACCACTGTGTTCAGCTTTCTTTCTTTCTTTCCCCAGTACTAGTGAACCAAGGACCACCCATATGCTATGCAAATAGTCTACCAGTGTGTTATATCCCAGCCCTTTTTATTTTGAGACAGGGTTGCCCAGGCTTGAACTTGTAATCCTCCAGTATCAGTCTCCCAAGTAGCTGAGATTACAGACATGCACTACTGTGCCTGGCCTGGTTCTGTAACTCTTTTTTTTTTTAAATATATGTATCTTCTTTGATTACTTAAAAAAAAAATACAACATTCCATCTTTTCTCCATCCCTTACTCAGAAATTATATATACTAATCTTATTCTAGAAATTTCAGTATATACATTCCCCCCCCAGAACTAGAGATTGAACCTGGGGTGCTCTACCACTGAGCTACATGCCTAGATCTTTTTATTTTTTATATTGAGACAAATCTTGCTAAGTTGCCCAGGCTGTCTTCAAATTTGCATCTTCCTGCCTCAACTTCCCAAGCAGTTAGTATTATAGGCATAGGCCATTGTACCTGGCTCAGTATGCTCATTTTGTCAACATCTCTCCCTCTTTTCAGTGCTGGTACTGTCCACACATCTYAACATTACCTACTTTGAAGCTGGCTCTCTAGCTGTGTGTGTGCTGGGAAGGCTTGGCCAGCAACTGGTTGTCTGGCTCTCGGCTCTATTATTTTGATTCTGTGGTCTAGTGATTGTGAACCCCAGCTGTGCATTAGAATCCCTTGAGGAGTGATTGAAAGATATAGGTATTTCTGATATGCCTATTCTAGACTCAATTCAAAAGCAGTTCTATCCAGGGTGGCTTTATTGCCTGAACTTTGGGAAATATTCTAAGGCATTCTCAGGCTTAGCTAAGGTGGGCCTCAGAGCTGTAATCACTTCCCTGGAGTAGGAGTCAGGCTTCCATAATCTGCCTGCAGGAGTTGAGAAAGGTTAGTAAGCRGAGGTGTTAGCTGTGCACTGAAGAAGGCAGGCATGAAGAGCCAAGGCAGAGCACAGAAGTCACCAGATCTGCACTGGAAAAATACAATCAGATCTCTGGAATCATCTAGTTGTGGTAGTTGGGGGGAGAAGAGCCTCAGACATAGGAGGGAAAAGCAGAACATAAAAGAGTGAACAATGTCCAACCCATATAATCAATACTCAAGAGAAGCATGGAAGTATAGCAAACGTGAACAAGAGGGGAAAAAAAAAAGTGAATAGCAGGGAGCTGAGTCATTAGAGCTGAACCAGAGAGAAAAGGTTTGGGCAGATGTCAGAGCCACACCAATTTCTGTCTTCACTCCAACCAGGCCTTCCCCGGGGAGTGCTGGTGCCCCTGCCTCTGTACTAACTAAGGCTTTCCACTTAAATACACTGACCTGGATATGATCCCTGGACAAGCTTACAAAATCATTTACACTTTTTTATTTTAAAACATATTGGTTGGCTTTCAGACTCATTCAAAAAATGCTGAGGACTATTTTAGAAATATGGCTCCACCCAACCCCCACCACGTCTTAATTATTAATAGCCTGAATAATTTGTACTTAATGCAGGTATTTACATGTGTTATTTCATGAGATCCTCACAACTACATGGTGGAGTGGTATCATTATCCCAATTTTATCAGTGAAGGAGATGAGCCTCCATCTTACCTCCTGTGCTGACAGAGATCATACTGGTGAGGGTGGGGCTGATGAGCACCCTCAGCTGTAGGAGAGGCCAATCAACACTTTCACTGTAAGGGGTGGGGAATGTTGACCTGGGGCTACTGTAACTATGTTCCTTGTGGAACCCCATTTCTTTCTCATTTTAAAATCCAATTATCAGGAAAAGTACTGTGACAAGCAAGGGACCCTTTTACAACTGAATAAATAGTTCACAGACACCCTCTCAGTATTCCAAAGTGAAGAGAGAGGGGTTCAAGAGGAGGCCTGGAATGCTGTCTGAGAGTCTGTGCCTCATACAGGTGAGGGTGAAGCCCCATCTAGGGCCACAATGACAAGAACCAAACCAAAACCAAACTGAACAAAAAACCTCAAAATAATGTGACAACACCTAAATACTCTCTGTTGGCTCTGCTTTTGAAGCATTTGAATGACTATGTTCCCAGAAGGCTCAATGGTCCAGACTAGGCCAATATTGCGGCCGTGAGCCAGATCTGACCATGTGAATAAACCATGTGACTTGGAGTTCACTGGAGCTATGATTTAGCAAATTCAGCTTGGCAGATGTGACTGGCCCAGAGCAGTGCTGCCAGCACACCCACCTTCCTTCCCTTCACCCTGGTGGCTTCCTCAGAGACCTGCCCCACGTTAGCACAGAGTGCCACTTGACAAATCAAAGCACATTTTTTGCTTCACCATGAAAAGTTCCTGCTTGCTGAGGCTGGGCAGAGTGTCTGCAATAACTCATCCAGAGTTCTGTGGAGGTCAGAGGAATCCAATCCACTCCTTCTTACCCCTCTTTCCCTCGATTATGGATGGCGAGTTCTTCTCCTATCCCTTCCTCCTCCTTGAAGTTCTCCCAGTCCAATTTGGACTTCTCAAGGGTGCTCATTTTCTGCTTCTTGGATCCAATTTTCCCCAAAAGGCTGCTCATGCCACTTGATCTTTTTAACCTAAGGAAAGAGAAAACATGAAACATGTAAAAACTCTGATGCCTCTCTCTCTCTTTAAAAATTTATTTTAACAGTACTGGGGTTGAACCCAGGGTTGCTCTACCCCAGTCTTTTACTGTTATTTTGACACAGGGTCTCACTAAGTTGCCCAGGCAGTTGCTGCTGTGCCTAGCTAAAAACTCTATTCATTTGATTAAGATTTTCTGTTGGATACAGGGCTCCCTGGATTGGAGGCATTTATCTTACTGGAATCCATGTTCACACTAGGGTATTTCCTTCCTGGTGTGAAGAACAGTGTAAGTGGAGCAGAATTCTAATGTGCTTTTCCTGCCTAACATCTCTGACTGCTCTGAGGCACTGCAGACAGGAAACCCTAACCTCTTCAGACCTCTGTGTACTTGGTGTGGCAGGTCTCTGCTTGCAAAGAGGGAGGAGAATGGTAGGACTCAGGCAAGGCCTTGGAGTCACATGCTGAGGTCCAAATTCCAGCTCTGCTTGAATGACTAGAGGCTGGTTATTAAGTGTATGTACCTTGGTTTCCTAAGGGACAAAGTGAATGCTTACTCATGGGCGGTGGCATCTTCTAAGCAAAGGGCTAAAATAGCACCCAGCACAGGGTCAAGGTACCACAAATGTTGGCTACTGAGTCACTGTCATTATTGTGTTCTAAAGCCCCAGGGGGCTCTTTCAAGAGTAAGAACCAGTTCCCAGCACTGATGAGCAAAAAGTCACAGTACCATAAAAGGGATCTAAAGTCACTTGCCTTTCAACCCTATGAGTTGGGCCTGGTTTTTCCCAGGAGTGTGGAGAACATCTCACCCCGAAGGCAGGGAACGTACATCCTGTGCTCTGGTTGCTGGTGATGCTATCAAGGGCTGAGGGAGAAACCCCACATGCTCAATTCAAGCCTTGGCAGGTCAAATGTTTCTAGTCAATGTTACATGTATTAGATAAAATAAGAAAAACAGAGGGCAGCTACTTTGTAAGAAGGTGGTTCAGGGGTGGGGTGGGGTGGGGAAGGAACTATGGAAGAAACATAGCTTTTGGTCTTTTTATGAAACTAAAACAAGTTATCTACCAGCAGGTAGAAAATTGGAAATTATTTTCTGCCTCATGGAGATATGCAAGAGTTAAAACATTTAAAAACTATGACCTGGGCTGGTGATATGGCACAGTTGGTAGAGTGCTTGCCTTGCATGCATAAGGAACTGGGTTCAATCCCCAGCACCACAAAAATAAATAAATAAAGTGAATTGAATAAATATTCAAAAAACCTATGAGTAATATCACAGTGCTCAGTCTCTCAGTGCTTTCATAGCCATTGTCTCATCTGACCCTCATTACAGCCTGGGACAGTGCATCATGAGCCCTGAGTTAGACCTAGTATGACCTAGTATCCCTCCATCCCATTATGAAACCCCAAGTGTACCCCGGCGAGAGCCAACAGGACAGTTACAGACTAAACACAAGACTTCTGAGGCCAAACAACTGCCCTAAACATTCTCATTCTATTAACCTTGGTCCAGAGGATGTCAGCTTCCCTCGTGGTCACGCCCCACTAATGCTGAGCTTAAGCTCAACTCAGAACAGGCCCGCACTATCACCCTTGTGTTAACAAAGCTGGACAAATAAACAAAGTTCAGATGGGTTAAATGATACAACAAAGGTCAAATCAATAGAAAATGTGGACCCAGGAGAAGTGAGGTTTCCTGGACTCAGTGTAGTTTACTGCCCTGTCTTGCCTCTAAGATAAAAAGTTGCTGGATAGATTTTTTATTTTTTTATTTATTTTTATTTTTTTTTATTTTTTATTTTTTTTAAGAGAGAGTGAGAGAGGAGAGAGAGAGAGAATTTTTTTTTTAATATTTATTTTTTAGTTCTCAATGGACACAACATCTTTGTTGGTATGTGGTGCTGAGGATCGAACCCCCCCGGGCCGCACGCATGCCAGGCGAGCGCGCTACCGCTTGAGCCACATCCCCAGCCCCCCTGGATAGATTTTTGACAGCCATTTTACTTTGCTTAAGATAACTCCAAATTGTTCTTTATGAGCTTTCAATGCATTTCTAAACTTTTATTTCCCAGATAACTTATTCCTTATGACAACCTACACATACACACAATTTTATCGCAAGCACAGCAGAGTGGGGATATAGAAATTCCTCCCTCCTTCCCTCCCTTCTTCCCGGTGCTAGGATTAAACCTGGGGCCTCACCCATGCTAGCTGAGTGCTCTACCACCGAGCAACATCCCTGGGATATGGAAATTTAATGTTTCAAATCTTTCCCCTTCCCCTTCCCCTGCTACTGTTCTGGCTCTCTTTCACCTGGATAATTTGGCCTCTTCACTAGTCTTCCTGCTTTTGTTTTGTCCCACCCCTTGTTCAATGGCTCTAATCTGGCATCTACTGATATGCTGTTTTTAGGACAAATTTTCTAAAACTCCAAACTTATCCTGTCTTTCTGCTTATATCTCTTCCCTGACCCCATACTGCTCTTACAATAAAGTCTAAACTTGTGAAGTCCACCTCGACCTTCTCGGGTCATATCTGCCCTTGTTACTTATGCTTTACAGTCCTGAACTTGCAGTTCATCTYGACCTGCCTCCTTTCATCCACCTAGTTCTACCTCCTCTTAGAAGCCAATTCTTCCTGGAAGCCTTCCCAAAGCCTTCTCTGATCTCTGGGTCAGATGCCGGTGGTGTTTCCCTCACTCCCTGGTTCTCTTCATCTGGTAGGACTGATCCTTCTGAAGCAGACAGTTGGGGCTCTCACTTCAGCTGCAGCTGATTGCACAGTTATGGGAAAGCCAAACTGTCAACAACATTCCATCAGATGCACACACCTAGAAGCTTTACTGAGCTGGCCACAGAGCCTCCTCTGATTCTCCCTGCCATGCTTCTTTGTTTTGGGTACTGGGGATTGAACCCAGGGGTGCTTAACTACTAAGCCACATCTCTGGTTTTTTTTTTTTTTTTGGAGGAAGGGTCTTGCTAAGTTGCCCAGGCTGGACTGGAACTTATGCTCTTCCTGCCTCAACTTTCTGGGTCACTGGGATTATAGGTGGGTGCCACCCTCTGCCTGCATGTTACAAGCTCGGCCTGGACATGTGGTTAAATGGCCCAGCCACCTATCTTCTCCCAGGCAATTCTGGGAGATTAAATACTTCTCAGAAGTTTTGGTGGTGGCCCCATGGCCTTGAAAACACAGGCGTGTACTGGTTTTTCTTGCTTCTTTGTCTTGGTCTTCCTGCCCCTCACTCTTGCTTTCTACCATCACTTCCCAAATAAACTCCCTGTGCTTGAAATCCTGGTCACATTTTGCTTTATGATTTTCCTCATGTAATCTCTTTCTTTGTGGATATTTAAGTTCCTGTGTCTCTAAACCTCCCTATTCTGTGTGGCTGTTGTTCTGCAGATAATGGGCACTTAACACAATTAATGATGTCCCCTGGATCACAGAACCAATTGTTGGGAAAGAACCAGATATCTGTAGAATAACAGGTGTTCAAGAGCACTTCTAAACTGGGAGTTTTAAGAGGAATAATGTCCATGTTTATTCTCCTACCCACTCTCAACATCCCAGGGATCCTCATCTTTTAAAAAAATGTGTATCTTTATTTCTTCTTTTCCTTCTCCTTTTTTTTTTTAATGTGGTGCTGAGGATGGAACCCAGTGTCTCACACATGCTAGGTAAGTGTTCTTCCACAGAACCACAATCTGAGCTCAGGGCTCCCCATTTTACATGGGCAACACTCAGGCTATATAAACTCTCACCCCTTGGCCTACACCTTTGATGGCATTCCTAGGCTGTTTCATCTTTGGACAAATCACTTTGAGAAGTCTAGGAGAAAATGATACTAGGTTGCAAGCAGTGAGGGGGTTTCCAGAAAAGGAAAAAAGCCATAATCTCTTTTTGCACTGTTCACTACTAAACATCAGCAGAATGTCATTTGTGTTACTATGCTTTGGGGGAAAGCTTCCAGATCTGCCTTCACTGGGTTCATTAACATGGTTTATGAYACCCTAACTTGCTATTCTCTAAAACAAAATAACCTACCTTTAATTGCATCTAAACAAACTGAATGATGCATTGATAGTGGTGGCCAACATACAGCAGGGGTCTCATCCCAACCAAGAGACWGCAGCTTCTTCCTAGAATCTGGTATGTGGGGTCCCTAAATGGGTCTGGGTGCTCCTAATCACCCTCCCACCTTGATGTGGGGTTAAGAGGCATAATCCTGGCATCAATCCACGTTTCAGGAGGGCAGATCTGCCACAACTCTGCCCCTCTCTCACTAGGGTACATCCATCAGGCCTTCTGGAACCTAGGGCGGTGAGTTGGCTTTGGACAGGAGCCCTGTAGTGGGCCTCTCTCTCTGAGGATGCAGCTACYTAGAAAAGAGTAAATCAGCACTGATTTCCTTTGGGCATTTGGCAGCTGGGAGGAAGTCAGGATTCCCTGGGGATATGGATCTCTCTGTTGTTACTAGGACCAGTGCAGTTCCAGATCATCAGAACCACTGATTTCTCTTTGTTCTGGATCCGGAGCCATAGGGCAAGGTATTGAAAAAAGTCAGCTTTGACAGACCACCCCCAAAACAATGCTACTTCATTCAAGAGAATGCTCACCTTCCCTACAAGTCAAAGTTCAAGGAAACACACCATGCATTTGCTCACTCACAGATTACACCCAGAACATCACAGAGACCTGTGCAGATATTACCAAGATATGTCTAATATCTCAATTGTGACATTTCTAACACTTAATCACCTTCTCCTGAATATCACACTGCTAATGACTTTGCTGCCATAGATTCTATGCAAAGACATGGAGAGTGAGCTTCACTCTAACCAGCCRGCTTCTGTGCCACAAGAGAGCAGAGCTGAGTGTAGTTCACACTGGTGGAAGGAGACTATGACCAAGCTTTCTTTCCTGGTGTATTTGGTTCAGCTGTCCATCAAATCAATTAGCATGATTATATTCAGCAATTCCTTCTCAC